CACTATCGCTCTTCTATCACCCTTTAAGTCATCAACCACTGACGCCTGACCATTTCGGCAGCCGCAGATCACATGCTCTGCATCACATAAACCTAAACAGAGCGGGGTGACACCGTCACGGCGGGGCCTGTGATGGTGCCGCCGAGGTGACGCGCCTGGCACCGCGTCACCGGCCTGACCGGTAAACTGTGAGACAGCCACTGGCCGGCCGCGCCGGGGGTGACGGAGGCACCGGGGTGCCGGGAGCTGACGGGACGATAGGAGGTGTCATGACGGGGACGAGTGACGCTATGACGCCGGCGAAGAGGCTAGAATACGTCAGGGGATCTCAAATGCCTTCATGGATGCGCATTGCGCACAGCGTAGAGCCGCTGTGAGTTGTGAAACGCCAGTAAAAGCGTAAAGAATGGATGCCAGGAGACGATCGAAGACGCAAGAGGCGCAAAGGACGGCTCAGGACGCTTGGGAAGGTCTGCGATAGGATGACGCGGGTCCTGGAGGGACACCAGTGTTGGACAGACTACGAACGCCGGCGGTGCCAGCGCCAGGAATTGACCTCACCATTGCGAGTCTCGGCCCATGACCAGACCCACACTCGAGCCGTCACCCTGAGACAAGGGAATCCAATCGCAGGGGTCGACCACAAAAAGGTGATAAGCGGGCGGCCACTGACTGAATGATGATGGCGGTGTTCACGGCTCGTTTGTACCTTATATTTCCCGGTGGCCACACGCCGGTAGTCGGCTGAGCTGAATTACAATCAGTGCAGAGCAGCGCCGTGCGTTTTTGTCGAGACGCTGAGTCGGTTTCTTGTTGGTAGCGGCGTTTGCACAGTGAACCTCGAAGGATTGAAGGGCAGTTACAGTAAACAATAAGTAAAAGTTTATCAGCGCATAAATAGCATGAGTATGAAACATCAATCACCGTATTTTCCGAACATCAGGCTCACCCTAAAACGTGATTTAAATCTTACAATCGCAAATTGCAAGCGACGAATATACGCATCGTTTTCCCTTGCATCATTTATCATTTGTTGAAAGCAACGTTGGGCGGTCACAATGCAAAAGGGGACGTTGACTGACCAATGACCATCCTACCGCTCCATCTGATCATCACATCTTCAAAATCAACTAAACGAAAAGCTGCCGCACCCTCTCACAGTGTATCGTTCCGGTGATCGGCCAGCCCGGGGACACCTGTCGACCAGTGGACGCCGCTGAGACACCGCCACCCACCAGACGCGGCAAAAACGGCGCAGATTTCCGCGTGACGGTGCCAGCAGTGCGCCACGGCTCGTCACACCGCGCCACGCCCTGCCGCACTGCGTCGCACCACGCCGCCTCAGAATGCCTCCTGTGGTGTCTGGTAAACGTGCGCGCATGGCAAATTTTCACGTTCTGAAGGTGTTGATAAAGTTTGTGGTCGTCGTTAGTAATGACATGTAAAAATGACGAAATTCTGTTCTTTTACGAATATTTCACAGGCAGCCATGAGGTGACTCATAAAGTATAGCTGGAAATAATCAGTTTTGAGACAATGAATCAGTAGTTTGTAACAACCTCGGTGACTTGCGGCAGTATGTGTACTGGACTCGCTTCTCTGAAGCCCAGCCATGCATCTAAACAAATAAGCTGTCCATAGTGACAGCAACGAGACGTTCCGTGCAGGGCATAAACAGGAGCCCTTCACTCAGCGTGATCGGTCCCGGTCGTCACCATCAATGGTGCCTGGTGCACTGTGCACTGTGCAGGCCTGTGCAGTGTGCGGGTGTGCACAGTGAGTGTACGTACACTCCCTGCAGCATCCATATGAAGGCTGCAGGAGTGTGAACGGAGTCGAGAGCCATCCATAGCGTGGGTGAGAGGATAATATTGGAGCGGAAGTGCACGGACGAGGTCGCGGGGAAACCGTCATGCTCGTGTTTAAAATTCGACGGGCACTAAAACATAGCGAAATAGGAAAACATAGCAAAAACACAGGAAATTAGTTGGAACTGTGCAAATATCATAAATAAATAAGTGTATCTTCCTGTGCAAACAAAACGGAGAACCTATGCACCCAGCCAAACAGGAAACAGGGCATTGGATAAGGCTCACGAGTCACGAGTTGTACCAAGTAGAAAGCAATATTTTTCTGCGAGTAGCCTCCGCTCCCCACCAGCCGGCAGTGACGGGTGGGGAGGTGACAGCCGCAGAGCCGTCGTGGCCGGCCGGTGCGGCGTTCATGACGCCTCTGAGACAACTCCACCGCCCTAATGAAGCGCCGGTATCGCCGCGACGACGGATGGCCGACAGAGTGGGCGTCACGTGACCCCACGGCCAGCCGGCGGCGGCGGACACGTGATCACATAAACAGAATCCGCCAACGGACGCACGGCAGCGGCGGAGGGCGACGGCGACGGAGAGGTCACCACCGGACCGGGCCGGGCCGCCGATAACCCGGTCACAGGCAATTAGTCCCGCGGTGGCGCGATTACAGCCACAGGGGCAGCAAATGAATGACGGCATAATGCTTAGCCCTAATGAGAAGTGTCAAATTCAATGCAATGAAAGTCGGTAACCATAACAATCTCGGTTCATCAAAGCCTCGCCGTATCTCTTCCAATCTCCGAGGATTCGCCATAAAGTTTTTGTCCCCGCTAAGAATTGAATCCTCATGGCACCACTTATCCACCGAGGGGCGGCGTCGCCCTTGCGGCTGCTGCAGCCCGATCCCTCTGAGGCGGTGTCTCCTCCCCCCCCCTCTCCGCCGGTGGGCGGTGCGGCTCCAGGCCGTCTGCTCGTCTGTTCCGATTTATCACTATCCGACGGTCCGTATCTCCCCCGCCCCCGCAGGAAGGCCGCCCCGGACGACTGCAACATCCGCTCCGGAACGCTGCCCTTCCGGACGCAGTGATCGGTTGTATCGCCATTCACCAACTGCGCGGCCACAACTTCATCGCGATAGAGCGCGGAGAGTCAAAACAGGGTGTGGTAGGGCGCCATCAAGAGTCAATACATGCACTGATACAGTCGTACCATACAACAAACTGTGACAGCAATGAATTAAAACGTGTGACTATTGCAATCGTGTACTAATTCGACCAAAATTGATTTGGGCTACCCAGACCTAGCTGATATGCCATTTGTGACCTCACTGAAGCTCCGCGTTATGCACTGTTTGGTTCATCTATAATCTAGTGGTGATCTTCCAGGTACTGCGTCACGATTCGTCGCAAATGAACGCCGCTAAAGCATATCAGCAGACCCAGAGCGGACATTAGATAGACCAGGTGACGCTGAGAGGGTGTGCCACAGCAGAACAGTGACCTCATCAGCAGAGGTCATCCTCGGCGTCTGTTTACGCGGCTCCAGGTCAGAGGCCAGTCGGCCTGGTAACCGATACTTATGTATCTAATGAGTCAGCCTCGGCGGCGGCGACCACTCTGCGTACTTCCGACAGCGCTCGGACGCTAACGAAGCCGATAGTGCCGGATTAGCCCCCGCGCCTATTGATACAGATTACAGTTTGGTGCAGTGGCTGACATCAGGCGGGTAAGTCTTCTTACCAGAAACGTATGTTATATAGACGGACATTCAGGTCACTTGGACAGGCTGCAGGACAATTAGCTAATTAAGTGACAGCTGGTTGCTAATGAGGAGCGTAATCAGATAATTATCGCGGCGACAAACGGGTCCGGTCAGAGGGTGATAGGGTGATCCCGGTACCGTAGATGATGTCTGTTCTTCAACATAATAAACGTTTGCCCACACGGATATCCTTTGACAGAGTTCCACCGTCTTCGAGTGGGAACAAGCAATTATTAGACGCGTTTAGTTTACATAGGGTTTGTTGCAAGCTTATATCTCCGTCCGTGATGTTGCAAAAGATGCCAATGGTGCTTAACAATTTACAAAATGATCCCCTCTAAATATTTGAAGACCACTGCAACGAAATTATCGCCAAATTAACGAGATAGAGCCTCGTCAAATATGCTATGTAAACCGGGTTATTGTCTCAATTCACGTAACATTCATATAAATGTTTTTAAAAAACATGACTGCCACTAATTCAACTACAAGCATAATTCCATATTCAGTCTTATCTTTACTATATCAAGGGGTAGTTAGGGTTATAAAAAAGTGATATGCTTTGCCTTCACATTCAAATCTCCGCGATTTGACACAGATGTCACCATCCGGCGCTCTCTATCCGGTTACATAACGTCAGTTTTTGTCGGTCCAACACGTCGCGACCCAGACGCCGACCATGTGTCCCCAAATCCCGGACGATCTGTTCCGCGCCAGTGGCAGAGCGGCCAGACCGGCGGCCTGGCGGGGCCCGCGAGCTCATTGCGCCTTTGTTTCTCGGGCTCACCAGACAGTGGGGAAGGCACGCGCCGGCACACTGCACACACAAACACAGAGCACCGTGGCGGGCATACATCACACCGACACCATGGGCGGGCTGTCGGTCAGGCAGGGGCGTCCCCCTGGGTACGGAACACCCCAGTTCCCCTCCCGCCGCCTCGGACGGTCACGGCACCCTCCTCCCTCCCCTGCCGACGGTGGTCAGGAGGGGTGTCAGCGGAGTTTGAGAGGGGTCAGAGGGGAGAACGACTTCTTCAGCAGCTGTCGGCGATCAACGGAGGCATGTCGGTTGGTTTGAGGTAAGCCCAAGAACATGAACATCAAAGGTCACGGAAGGTTTGATGTAGTGATCGTTTGCTGACTTCCGCTATTATTTTGATGCGCCTTTACATCAGCTAAAAGAAATGGGCCTTTACATTCAACGATCGTTCATCTATGCGTCAATAAATCACTCATCTCGGTGGTGTGGAGCCGCCGGATCTCCACCTTTAGCGGCCCCTAATACCCCCGGCGTCCCCGGAGTCTGGATCCCGTGCCGCCCTGCAGCCCCTGGGAGCCTCTCCCTGCGACTGAGCCGGTGGCCGCGCCACAGAGCGCCCCTGTGCCGGCTGACCCGACCCTCACAGGCGGCCCGAGTGCTGTTTATCTCACCTTGCCAGTACCAGCTGCCGACAGCACCAATGAACAGTCTGTCCCCGGCCTGCGGACGGAAACGCACCAATCAGCGCCCGCTAACACACTCCAGAGACGCCGGAGAACACGTCAGCACCGGCCCTGATGGGGGTCAGTCAGACTGACAAATAACACAGGAAGGTCGGCACTCGAAAGCGGGAAAATTGGTTCATAGTTTGATTAAATCAAAAAAGAAACAGAACTTGAACTGTGACAAACGCTGCTCATCGACAGTTTTGGGTGAGAAGTCAAACAGATGTCCATTGTATTTCTTGCAACGTAAAACAATGATAGTAATAAATAAATCCGAATCGTTTTATCAGAGGCCAGAGCAACTACGAAAAAAGGTTCCTAAATAAAAACGATGGAAAAGGTGGTACTTCCCGTCTACCAGTTTATCATAATTCAAACACTTTGTTCACATAATAGCACTTGTTTTTATCTATTTCAAGAGCTTGTTTATTTTCAGCAATCTAAATTCTAAATAAAACTTTAGTTTTACGTAACATGATCTTTTAAAAAAGCAAGGAATGTGTAAAGAGAACTTGACGGGTACGTTTTCGGGAGTAAGTGGCAGTTACGACACAGTTGACCTCGGTGACATGGAGCCTGTGGCGGCCAGACTCAGTTCCATGGCTCACGAGGGGCGTCTGTGGTCACTTTGGGGACCATGGTACGACGGTGGGAACAGGCCATAATACCACGCGACTGGACTGTGTGTGTGTCGCTGTCCGACAGAGCGCACATGTTCAGAGTTATGTTAACGTGATGTAACGAGAAGGTTCTGGCCGTCGTTTTAGGCTGGCCAGACCCCTTATAGTTGTCAGGAGCCGGGCTCAGACACAAAAGGCCGTGGCCATGGGTGTGCTTTTGACCACGGGTGTCTTGAAATGTGAGATAAATATTGCCCTCAGATGAATAAAAAGCACAATTTACGTTCCTAACCCCACTTACTTACCTTCTGCTTATAATGGCTAATTATCACTTCATATCAGGTCATCCCTAAACGGGCATAACAGTGCGAAAACATTTGTAACCGAAATACAAAAAAGCAAAAAAAAAACATTGCGTCACAACTCGCCACATGCCTTCCGCACCAACACTGTAAGGCATTCATGTTGAATATCGGCCTCCACCTGCTGTTCTACGGCCGGCAGACAGAAGCAATTACACCGGTTATAAGTGCCCCAACAGCTGCTCCTCTAGGCACAAAACATGTCCAACAGTTCGCCTCTCTGCAGCGCCCTTGTCGGCAGGCCGGCAGAGTTGTAACCGGTACCACCCCTGCGTAACACCGCAGCGGTTCAGCGCCACGCATACCGTGCAGTGCAGAGAACTGCGGCCGAGTTACGGTCCGCTGGCACCCAGAACACGCGCGTCTGGAGAACGCACCTTTCACCGCAGGCAACCGCGGCCCATCGCGGAACAGCGCCCGTAGCGGTAAACAGTTTACCCCCGCCCGCCGGGCCGGCTGGTTGCTGCAAATATTTGGTGCCCGGTTCTCGCATATACAGCGAGGGCGGGTCCGAATTTAGCGCCTCACGCACATGTTGGAGGGGCAGGTGGATGGAGCGCAGGGAGGGGAGCGGGAGCGGGTGGCGTACCCAGGGCACACGCCGACCTGTGCTCTGAGATCATATAAGCGGGTTTGTTGGGGCCGATGTGGCGTGTTTTGCCGTGGTGGTGACGGGCCGTGAGGTATAAACGTCGGGGTGTAATGCCACCGAACGCAGCCCTTTGAATCACGGTTCGTGTGACTGGTGTAATGTGTGTAATTTTCGGCCGTAAACTTTGTCAATCTGCATGATAGGTGATCGGGAAGCATCTGAGGAGAAAGTTGTAGGCGGGGTAGCAACATCACTCTTCCCTCTCACGAGCTCCCTGTCAGGAGTTCTCTGTCGGGAGTTCCCTGCCACGAGTTCCCTGTCATGAGTCTACCCCTGTCGTATGTCACGATTCCCCTGTCACCTGTCATGTCACGGTGCAGATGTCACCTGTCATCAATGAACCGATCGTCCCTGTCTCCACGTGTCGGGCGGCCGGCCGGGGCCTGGTCGGCCGGGTCAGCCGACAGCGAGACACGGCCCGACCTGATGGATGGCCGCCCGCGCCGCCGCCGCCGCCGCCGCCGCCGCCCCGCCGCCGCCGCCCGCGCTGCCGCCCCCGCCCGGTGGCGACAGTTTGTAAGTCATTGCCAGTGCGGGGCAAACTGTCAGACATGACAGTCTGTCGCCGACGGAGGACCAGCGCAGTACAGGGAAGACCTGGCAGCATGTCCCAGGGCCTCTCCTGTAGGAGACTCCGCTGTTGCAACGGCAGACCGTGCACCGAAGCAAATGTCCGCATAAGACATGGGGACATGTTCGGCCCCGTGTATAGGGATGCACTCTATCGTCAGAGATGTATTGGGCTACAGAGAACAGATGCAGATCAGCGGGGGTGCATGCTATTCCATTTATTTATTGTATGCTGATATTGTCAGCCTGCGAAACATGCCAATCTAACAATACCTATACCGTATGTGCCGGACGGCTTTTTCTTTCCTGAACAGTTAACTTTTTAGTATAGGAGACGGTATGATTCAGAAGTGTTTTCTGGTAAATGTGTCTCAGATTCAGAAAACGCAGTCCTAAATGCATGGAAATATGCCGATAAATTGGATACGTTTTCTCATGCTGCCTAAAAGCATGTCATTCCGACCTGTCATCACTCTCCCAAAACTAGCCAAACTGACTGATGAGTGACACGGGCGCCAAATCACGGGGCAGCCAGCCGCACTTGAGCGTCTCTCCCGGCACGGTCATGTAAAATGCATGGGCCCCGCTGTCGAGCCGCGCATCTATGGCTATTAACCGCCGATCTACATCGCGGTGCGATGGTGCGATACGCTCCTGACAGACGCTCACCTTGTTGATGCTGGCGCCGAATCCGGCTTGGCAGTACCCCTGTCGGTGGTAGCCCCACGACTCTGCCGGCAGGCGAGGGCACCGGCTGTAATACACGCGCTAAGAGCCGCCGATAGCCGTTCAGAACACCGCTATATTATCAAACAGTGATAGCAGCAGAGACCGATGTGGTCACAGGTCATTCATAGCGGATCTGAATGTGCATCCAACAACAGTACGTTCATGGGCAGACAGTCGGAACAAGTGGTGTCGATCGGTGTGGTCCGCATTGCGTGCGGTCTGTAAGGTCAGCATGAGCTATGAGCAGGCGATAACCGATGGGTGCCTGTGATCCGTTCTTGTGACATGTGGATCATGACATGAATTATAGTAGTCACTACATGTAGTGTGCAATGTGCATGATCTGCCATCTATCTGCTCTTTGATCATTGTGATTATCTGTCAGATCTTCTTACCTGTTCGACAGGGCGAGTACTCGTCGATCTCTGTGAAGCCGTTCTTGGCGACGAAACAGGTGCCCACAGGGTCGCGTCGTTTCCGGTTGCTAGTGTACCACAGATACCGGGGCGCACACGCCTGAAGAAGAAGAAAAAATGTGGCGTTGGTGTAATGATGCGCCAAAATGATGTAATCAATACAGAAAAATAGACAGTGCTCCACGAAGCAAACCGGCCATCAAACGAAACAAAACATACGCCATTGACATTTGATTCGACAGCAATGAGTATTACTGATTACATCAGAGACATAGAGCTACACAATAAATATGTTTATGAACAACATTATCAACAAGGACGAACGGACTAGCAAAAAAAAAAAAAATGTTGCACGACTTTTTAAAATTACTAGGTTCGCTCTAAGTCCTATTACCAAAGTACCGATCATACACATACGCCATCCGGGCTGGCTAATTTGCGGGCTGATCATTAGGAGCCGTGCAGGTCACGTTGGCGGACTTACAAATGACCGGCCCCGGTGCGCGTTAGGTCATTCGTTACACAAGTGTTGACGCAGCATGGCAGCGATGGAGAAACGCCTGGGTGGTCTGCGGTACGAACACTGTCCAGACGGCGCATCCCAGCAGAATATGTCACCCAATCGGAGTTTAATTCGTCATCTGAGGTCGCTCCAAACGTTTGAACGTCCCGCCAGCGTGGGCGCGTCCCTCGAGCGCTTTTCGCGTCACTCATCACCCCCATCCATGCGTCCTGTCCTTTCTGTATATCGATGTGTTTTATGGTGCGAAGTACGATAGAAAGCAGACTTGAAGGACAAATTTAAAACATTTTCTTAACCCGCGCCCACTGGGGGGGGGGCTATTTATAGCCCCCCTCCCGTTTTTCTGCAATAACTTCCAAACCGTTTGACGAATCGACGCCAAACTTTCAGTACCTTCGGCTGCATCAATTTGACACCTTGTGTCAAAATTTGAACTTCGTACCTACCATAGGTCGGCCTTAAATGACGTCAGAGTGACGTCATGTTCGGCCGATTTCGACGCAAAACATTGAACCACGGCAATCGCTCCCAGGAGCTCAGTTTTGAAGCTAGATCCAATTTCTTTGCATGAGAGGACTTAAAATAGATTGCGCTATCAAACTGCTATCTCGGATTTTCGAAATTTTGAAAATTTCGAAAAATTTTATATAATAAAATTCAAAACTTATATTTTTACATGTTTTCAAAATTTTTGTGATTTTTCGAAAAAAACCGGAATATATGTGATAGAGCGCATTATTATGACTAACTCTAGCAAGGTTTAGCTAAATATCTTCAAAAATGGCAAAGTTATACGCATTATTGCAAAAAAATTAACAATTATTAGTTTTTCAAATCAATTTTTCAGCACGAATTTGACATCGTACGCCAATATAATTAGCACCATCGTGTTCCTGAGCTCAAACTGCATCCAATAGACACCTTTTTTGTTGAAAAATTATAACTTCAAAATTTGACCTTTTTTACCTGAAAGTGACCTGACCTAAGCTAAATTTGACTCAAAATGACCTCGAATGACACAGACGACATCAAATTCGAAATTTTTGGCCTAAATGGACCATAAAACATGTGTCACGTGACCGACGGATGATATAATATTTTCGTGACCTGTGATGACCTGACCTTGACCTGAAAATCAAAGTACAAGTTTGGTACCCTCAGAGTATCTAGTGCATCTGTTCAAGAGTGTGTGAACCAAAAATGAGCCTGATCTGACTTGTAGGACGGCGGCCAGAGCCCAAAACGTGAAGAAGCCAAAATGCTAATAATTTTTACTTTGACCTGACCTGTAACGTCATCGGTGACCTGGAGGTCAATGAAATTAGGTTTCGCTCGACAGATTTTCCGGGGCTATCAGACGCCGTTTGAATTTTGACGATCGGCCCAGTAGTTTCGGAGTTAGGAGGGGGGGCTATGAATAGCCCCCCCCCCCCCCCAGTAGGGCGTGTTATACGCAGACCCCAGTGGGGCGCGGGTTAAGTTCCCGAGTGATTGTAATTTAAGCACTCGCAATGCTTTTGCTCAGCAAAATATCTGTCCTTGCCGATTCTAATGTAACACAAAAATTCACAACTTTTGCAATTGCCATCAACCCTGCCAAGGAGAGATGATATTATTCATCTATAATTAACTATATCATTATCGTAATTATTCCCGACATCGAACGAGGTGCAACTGCAAAGTGCTATGAGGGTTTCGCAGGGTCCCGTACTAGGCCCGCTGATATTGCCCTGGCGCTGTCGGGTGAGAAGCGCCGCTGGGTCAGCAGCAGGAGCGGGCGACCTTCCAGTGGCGCTTTGTAGACGCACGGACAGTGTCACCGGCTGACCTCTGGTCGCCGTAATTAGTGCGCGAGTGACAGGCCGGAGATACACACGGCAGCCTGGAGACACACACAGCAGGACAGAGTCCAGTGCGGCACACGCGCTCGCGCGCTGCGCCAGGGGCATTTGCTTGCCATGAGGCAGAGATGACAGCGATGGACGCAGTAAAGAGTAAACAAAACTGCAATTATTGGCTTGATATCAGTTTGGCTCTCAGTTTATTGCAGTTAAATCGTACATTCACACTAAATAAGGGTCATGCTAGATAGAGCAACTTAAATTAAGGGAGGGTTGAAAGGTGCATCACTAGCCACTGATCATTTATTCTGCCCTTGCTAAAACTCCCTCACTCCGAAATGCCACATATACCAATGTGCCACGATCTGTCATCTCGTGCTGTTGTTACTCACCACGACCACTCCCGAGTTGTTGACTCCCGGTGAAGTGGCCACCAGAGCTCCGAACCACTGGCCCGACTTGTCCACGATTTGTCGGCCTGAGACCGCATTGTTGCCTGTGGATGGAGACAGAAGGGACGATTGCTGAACTAGAAAGGTTGAATCAGAGGATTGAAGCGGCATAATTGATATGGATAAGTTGTACAAACATAAAGAATGACTGTGATTGAATGACTGTGTGTGTACTGTGTAAGTTTTATCATTTTTGGTAAGGATATGCTGACCAAAAAAAGGTTAAAGAAAGATGGATTTTTAATGATTGTCTGATGAATTGTCAAAAGAATGATAGATAACACGGCAATAATTATTTTTGCATGAAAAAATGTTAATGAACTGAATTTGTACTGCAATTGCGTAATCTAGCCCTTCGCTTAAAGGGACCCTCCCACCTTAACATTAGTTTTGAGTTGAGATAGCCAAGTTTGCGGCCAGGCTCAGAAACCACCATTTATCCTGGTCGCAACCCCCGCAGCTTTATAGTTTCAAGAAATTTCTTCCCTTTACTTGCAGGGTGGGACCAGCGTAGTCCCTATCTCTTAACACTAACGGACTCTGATGACCTCATCAAGCCCATTGACCGCGCGTTATAAAATAAAAGTCTTATATTTCAAAAACGGGTGAATATTTTTCGGTGAAATTTGGTAGATGTTCATTTTCGCTCTTTCTGATTCACAGTACATCACTTTTATGCCAATTCATTAACTTTTTTAAGGTGGGAGGGTCCCTTTAAGAAACGGGAAATAAAATGGGCGGAACATAACTTGCCATTTGTTTTCACTCCGTGTTTACAAGAAACAGAGTACCTAAAAAGATCGACTCGCATATGGCTCCCGTTTTAGATAGCCAGTTCCTGGTATTTCCCATTCTTTGTTCAGTGATGTCATGGTATGTATGTTTTAGATAACCTAGCAATCCGACCAGAAGTAAACACTAGAAAGTTCGGCGAAGCTGCAAATGCTGGACATTTTTCACCGTTTTGCAAAGCCGTGACGATGAACCCGCCACCATGACGGCGATCGAAGATATACGCTGCGCTACTTTACCGACGGCTGAAGTGTAAACTGTCAGTGCTATTGATGAGGCTAAAATGACAAGCCGCTGTTGCAAGTAATCCCCGCATTCACTTTGCATAAATTCAACGATTTTAACGTAAAATTTGTGCTTTATGCCTTATTGATAATGACAATTTGCAAGATAACCAAAGGCCTTTTTCAGCAATCGGCAATTACATTTAGCTACTAAGAACGTAATACATATATCGAATTTAAATGCGTCGCATAGCTGATCGGTTCCAATGCCCTGGAAAAAATGCAAGTCAAGCAATGATGCACCCGGGTCGACCGGTAGCCACTCAGCCTTTTCGGAATGTTTCTGACTGAGTCGCCCACTGCTGGCGCGCTGTGACCGCTTAGGGGAGGGTCTTCTCTCTATAACCGCCGCTGTATTTCACTGAGACGTGGACCGGCCCGGAGCGGGCAGGCAGACCCATGGCCGCGGCCGATTACTGAAATGGCGTCCCGGTGGGAGGGCGCGCCCGGTTATAGCTGTGATGAACGGCTGTTGTTTAACGCGCGCCGGGCCCACATACCTCCGACACCGGCGCGGCGGTGCGCCGTGCATTGGGGTCTACTCGGGCCGTGCTGTCTGCCGTCGCGCCGTCTGCTGTGCTGAGAGCTCCGCGTGCAGTGTCGAGTTTGTCCCATTCCCCATATCGCGCCGGAGCCGCCGCGGGGGCAGTTTGTTGAACTGAGGGCGGCGATTTGTTTGAGGGCGGCGACGGCGCATGACCCGCGCCAGAGCAGCTCCGCTCAGTAATGGTAGCTGGCCGCGTCTGACGCGCGTGCCCCTGTCAGAATGCTAATTCCAGACGGCACAAAAACAGAGAGCAGTAGCCACTGATTGCATGTCCGCGGAGCAGATTGCCGGGGCGAGGTGGCGGGCTGACCGGCCAGTGAGACGTGCCGCCGTTTTTACAACCCACTATTTTGCTCTGTTTAGATCAGATGAAGACACGGACCGAGTAAAGAAGCGGCCGAGACTGCTGGTTAGGAAGGAGATGGAGAACGTTTATCAGGTCAGGAGCACCGGACTGAAAACAACAGTTAGTGGAGGGGATTTATGTATAGGGCAATAAGCCTGGGAAACGCATGACCTTACTTCATATGCATTGTTGTTAAGCAAAAATGCTGTGCTTTGAGACTGAGCAAATTGAAAAAGCGTACACGTTTTCTACATAGCTTTATCACTGCCCTCTGACAATCAACTGAAATCAATTTCCTCGCCGGACCCGCAATGGTTTAGGCATCATCTGATTCTGGCGCAGCTCACTTCCAGCGTTCCGCCGTTTCGTGACCGTAACAGCATGGACATTATCCCCTTCCTCAGCTGCCACCTCGGCCATAAAATAAAGAGTACACCTGGCACATTGAAGTAAGCCCGCCATGGCTACCAGAGCCTGGGCAGATCCGCCACATACCCCAATATACCTGGGACAGGGCTGTGTCTGGACCCAGTGACCTGACGGGGCCAGACGGCTGCTCGTCGGCTGCTGGTGATCGGCTTTGGCTCTGGAGGGCCCCAGACGGGAAATACGAGTGAAAATAGATGCGCGGTTGTATGTACAGGTCAACGGTAAGCGCCGTTTGACTGTGAACGGTTAGTGTTAGTGTTTATTGTGGTGTGTGGTGTAGCACTATGTGTGATGTGGCGTGTGGTGGCAACATCATGATCACTGATGTTTGGGTGAAGGCGATGCTCACCTGCGATATGCGAGCTGAATTAAAGGAATGCGATGAGTGTAGCGCATGTGACAAATGAGACGAACGCAGCATAGGCATGGGCTGTGCTTCACGCACATTGCGGCGTGTGTGGTGTGCGGAGGGCGACGTGCGGTAGGTATGTGTTCGCAGCGTATAGCGCGTGCTGACATTGCCCCTCCCCACTCGGTGGACCGACGTGAAAACGCTGAGCGGCGAACAAACGGTCGCTGAGTACGACGATTGCCGCAGGTGACGTACGCAGAATTAAATCAGCTTTCACGTTTACGCTCGGCGCGGTGCGTCTCTCGGAATGTGAGGTCGGTGGCGACAGCTCGGTAAAGACGCTAATGGTGTTGGCTCATTTGGCAATAGCCCCACTCCCCACGCCCGGCGAACAAATATCGCGTAGTTGGCTCTAAAGACGCCGGTCAGTTGACTGAACTTCTTGCTATACGGTAAAAGTGTGCACATTGGCAAATGAGTGATTACAGATTGTCCTGAAAAGCTGTAGCAATACCTATGCGATGTTGCTTTGGTATATACCTAACATCTGACATTACTTTTCAATGTCTATACTTTTCTTCATTTGAATACTTGTGAAGTATTTAGGATGCCTGTGGATTTTTCATCAGATTCAGGTCTTTATAGAACCACTATATGAAATATCTCACATAACCTAGATATTCCATGGCCCTCTGAAACTGACATCCTCACTGAATCCCGAGATGAACACAGTTCACCGCCCCGAGTAGTAAAGTAATCTTGACCGCCCCCACTCCACTCACTAAAAACTGCGGCCGCGCCATCCCCTGGGCCGTCCTCCTCGCTGCCGGTGTCCATTGTGTGCGCCCTGCCTGGTGGGCGGGCCGCCGATACAGATCAGGGACGGTAGGATATGGATCAGAGACGGCGGGATATAGATCAGAGACGGCGGGATATAGATCAGAGACGGCGGGATATAGATCAGAGACGGCGTGATATAGATCAGAGACTGCGGGGATCAGAGACGACGGTCACCACTCGTTCATCCGTCAGCCCTCCAAAGCAGGGGTTGTGCCGCCCGCCCAACTTGCTTCCGCACATGACGCTACGGTGAACCTCACTGTGGTCATCTCGCTGGAGCATCGAAATTCTCACTTATAAGTGTGAGACCCTTCGACTCAACTTCGTCACTCCTCGGTCTACAGCCATCAGCCTACCCTCTCAGCTCCAGCCTCAGCCCTGCCCTCTCCATATTCCGATTTCATCTTCCTACTTAACCCGGAATCGCCCAATCGGACGGCAGGAGTTAGGTCTGAGCAACAAGCTCTGCTAAGCGTGACCTCGGCTCTACCTCTATCAATGCGTCCAATGTAGCATTCGAGCAGCGAAATGTATGAGAAATCCAAATGCATTATCGTCCTCAATAGCCACAGGTTTATTCATCTCTTCCAGCCTCCATTCTCTGCCTGTTTGTATTCTCTTTCCGTCCACCCTGGGCCGTTCATATCTCTCCGGCCGCCTGGACACCTGCCGTCAGATGTATGGCCGGGCCGTCAACACACGACGGCCGGCTGCGGGTCAAAGGCTGACCTCGGGGCAAAAACACTGCGCCGGTCAGCGGGGTGAGCCGTGCGCCACGCGCCGGAATGCCGGCCCAGCGGCGGCTCTCTGAACTGAAAGTGCCTTTTGAGGGAGAATTGGGACGGTTCGGAACTGTTTTAAGAAGACTTCAATTTGTATGTCAGTACACATTCAGAAATCAATGAAAAACCGTTACCCATCCACTCGTACGCACATTCCTGTTTCATGAACTGATTCTATGAATAGTGGAAACCTGTCGACCTACGAAAATACATCATCATTCACTCACTTATCCAACATCTACGATGGATGCTCTTTCTCCAGTCAGCATTGTTTTTATACGGTGAGCTAGCATGCTGCTACACAGTGCTTCTTAGCGTTGAAACAGTGAAGGCAAATGGTCGAAAGTTGAATAAAACGCGCGGTCTTCATTCAAAGCTTTTCAGTTTTCCATACAGGCACATACATGAGTGTGCTTACTCAGCCAAGGCGTAGTAAACTACAGCCTATACAATTGCAGGTCTCGCGAAAAAATGTATAGATATCGATTGTCTTTCTGTATAGAAAATGGAGGGTTTAGGCGGGTCCTGGCCTTTGCAGGTGACAATGGCATGTTCAATGTATGTACGCTTCATGTAGTACCGGGATGCACTCTCAAGCGCCGTGAATATTTACGACATAGTTTTGGTAGGCGGGATGCAGGAGACCGTGTCGATTCTGTGATTTCCGCCTTTGCATGAAAGCGAGAATCCTTGTGTCATTTTAGCGCTTCTGCTGCTGCTCATTGCTCTGTTTAGTATAATAAAATAAGAGGCCGTTGAGTACCTAGAATAAAATGATTTCTTTGATGGCTTATGCAGTCCAAATTGCACACATCATCATCACCAAATCTGGTATTTTTACTTGAAATCATCTCAGAAATACCTAACATTAACCCTCGCACGACCAGGCCATTTCTCATAACACGAACGACCAGGGGGGGGGGGGGGTTGTTACGACCCCCCCCCCCTGGCGTTTCGAAACGGAAGGTCGTAGAGCTTAGCGGAAAAAAAACAACGGATTGCTCTCAACGAGATCTCGCGATTGGTGGTATATTTTTTGGTCCTAGGTCAACATTTGACCTACTTATGACCGGTCAAAGGTCAAATTTTCGGAAAAATCTAACTTTTTCAGATTTCCGCGCCGATTGCGGCAAAACGGTAAGAGATATCGACTTGAAACCTTCACTATCGTGATCCTTGATCAATTCTCTATCGTTTGGTGCGTATTTCGATGTCATAACTCTAAAAATGATGCGTTGGGAGCATCGGAAGTCTGCAAGGTCATTTGTGCATTGGGTCACGTCAGGCGTGTGACGTCACTGACCTGACCCTGACCCAAAATGAACTACAAGAAACAACCGACGATGCCTGAAATGGATAGCAAATTCGGATTCAGGGCATCAAAATACCCCGAAAAGGCATACAAGTGCAAGAAGTCATTACAGGTCAACCGAGGTCACTGACCTGACCTTGACCTTTAGTAACCTTGAAAAGGTCAACGGACATTGTGCCAATGTCAAATCAGCCAGTTATGGTTCTAAAACAATCCATCAGTGTGTCAGGTCAGTCGGCATTTATACCAATGTGAAGCAGTCTCCAATTTAGCGTAAATCTGGCCGGAGGTTGTTCCCTTTATGACGTCATAACTCCGTGACCTGACATGACCCGATCAATTTTTTTCGGCAAAAGATGCGCAAAGGTTGCCCCAGAGGGTATTGAAAATTTCAGCCCGCTACGACAAGCCGTTTAGCGTGCACTTCGAAAAAACCTCAGGGGGGGGGGTTGATACAACCCCCCCCCTAGGCGTTCTAGGGTTAACGAACGTATATGAACTTTAGCGAGAAAGTATTTCACTTGATTTCATCCTGTCATTCATCGATGAAAGAACATCATAAAAGTTAGAAGAATAAAACCCATAAAAATCAGCTGCCTAACGCCCAAACCGTCAGCTGACTGTAAGGTGATCCCCCCTCGAGTGGCTGTGATCGTCGCCTGTTTCCAAGAAGCGGTGTGACCCGGCGCGCTGCCCGGCGACCCTGTGAGGCGCAGACCCCCCCCCCCCCCTCCCCCTCCCCTCGGTGACACCCGAGCGCGGCTCGGTCGCCGCCGCCGGGACCCCAGATGTTTATTTATTCCAGCACAGCGCTGCTCTGGACAAACTGGTCACTGAGAGATCGTCGCACTGAACGGGAGCCTGTCCCAAGAAGGACGCTCAGGGTTAGGGACTGCCGACTCCCATCAACCAAAAAATATCCCGAGTAATTTTATGAAGTGAGCGTTGTGATATAATTCACACCGGTCAGTAGCCAACACTGGTATCTTATGGATTGAGTTGAGCACCAGAAGGGCTTACAATTTACGTACTCCAATGAAAGTCAGGATTCAGATGATGTGGATTTTCTCCGTTGAACTGTAAAAGGAACAACTCTGCAAATTTATCGAAGGTTGGCGTGCTGCAGCGGATAATATTTAATGATGTATGCACAAGATTGTAATATCTTTGCAAAATAAATATTAATGATATTCAGGCTACTTTAAAGGATGATACGAAACAGACATGTGCATGTGTTTATATTCAAACTTCCGGATGTAGTAAATGTGTATGTGTTACTAGGCACGAGGGAAGACGTTGGCTCTTGAGACCCTTTACCTATGCATGTATGAAATAAATACAACCGTCTCCTTCAATGAGGCATGCTTTCATTGAGACAAGTTTCAATGAGGTTTCATCAAGAAGAGTCAACAAACGTTAATGAGGATATTAGTAATGTCTCCGGATGCTCGGGGACATTGCACATTGCACGGTGCACTCCGGTAGCTCGCTCACCTTTTTCGTCGAACGGCAGCTGTTGGCAGGTCCGGAGTGGGGAGCCGCCGGTGGCGGGCGGGTCGGCGGCACACCTGAACACGGCTCCTCCCTGCACCACTCCTGGCTGGGAGGTGTTGGCCCTGGGCGCGCCCACGATCACCCTGCGCACAGACAGGGGCGGCGTCAGCGCCTGAGACACAGCTCGGAGCCACGGTCACCTGTGACTCGATAATGACCGTCATTAGCGGTTTTCACGACGGGTTATCTGGCGAATGCACGAGTTGGCCAAATGTGCACCAAATCTCTTTAAAGGGACTATCCCACCTTTAACATGGGGTTTGAGTTGAGATAGCCAAGTTTGCGGCGAGGTTCAGAAACCACTATCTATCTAGGTTGCAACCCCCGCGGCCTCTTGGTGTTGAAGAAATTCGTTCCCTTCATTTGAAAATGGGCCTTGTACAAGGCCCTATCTTCAACATGGAGCGACCGTTAGTGTGACGTCACCTCGTTTAGTCATTCTGATTTAAATGGGTTTGTTCGTTGAAAAATCGCTTAAAACTTGGTCTGAACTTTGTTGTGGTGCCTACAGAGTAAAAAGAATCAGCTTTATGACAGTAATGTGGCCTGGGGAAGGAGGTAATTTTGGGCTGTGACGTCACATATTTGAAAGTTTGTGTTTGGAATATGGGAAGCCTAAGATGTTTAATGAAAAATAAATGCCAGAACCGTGTTCCTGGTCATCCAATCTATAAAGTCGGGCACAATTTAACTGGTTTTAACAACATTTTAGAAGGTGGGATAGTCCCTTTAACACGCGCAGTGGAAGGGGGGGGCGGATTTCGCCCACCCCTCCTGTTTTTCGCCAATAACTCGCGCCGCAAGCATAATATCAATGTGAAATTTCGGCTACCTGTCCAGAATTGAATTGCGGATCTTCTCATGCAAGAAGTAAGAAAATCGGTTCACAACTTTTCTAGTAATAGCGGTGTAAAGTCAAACATCCTGCCGCCGCGGCGGCGCGGCGGCGCGGCGGCCGGCGCTAGCCGTTACGCGCCGCCTGAATTGTAGACTGTGCCGGGGCGGGACGGTTCAGTCTTTACATCGCGCTCCTTACCGCTGATTATATTAGATTCGCGTCAAATTCGGTGAGAAGACTGAGAAATGTACAGGCAATCATATGGTCAAAGAATTTTGAAAATCGGCCGGTAACAACTTGAGTTATGAGTGTGTAAACACAAAATTGTGATTGCCGCGTTTCCCGCGTCGGCCGATGCCGCCTCAGCCGGCGACATCTTACCCTTCGCAGGCTTCTAACTGCCATATTTATTGTTGGATTATCTAGAAATTCACCATACATACTTACAAATGTTTGTTCTTTCGTATAGTGAAAGATTTAAAAAAATCGGCCGGAAACTTTTTGAGTTATCGGCGTGTAAACGCAAAAAAGTCGCTAATATGGCAGATTTGACCACATTTGACCTCATTTGACCTTGAAGATATTGACCTAGGGTCATGAAATTCACACACAACAGAGTTCCCCATGGCCCCCACCTACCCTCCAAATTTCGTCTTTCTAGCTCCAGTGGGAGCTGAGATCTTAGGGGGGGCGACATCCGCCCCCCCCCCCTTCCACTGGGCGTAGTACTCGCAACCGTTCCACTGCGCGTGTTAAGAACAAACATCTTCATATGAATTATGTCATTGTTTAAATCGAAAATAATGCCTGCTTATTTGAAAAATCTGGTATATAAGCAAATGTGCAGGCAAAACTGATAACTTTTAAGAACCAAAACGCGCCTAATTTGACCAAATATGCACCAAATCTGCACCTACTGCGCACCAAAAATGTAGCACATGGTCGTCGTTTAAACGGCTAATGTAAATATAATCCAGGAAAAAATCTTCTGTCCTTGCACTATGAAAGGAATTAATTTATATTGCGCAGGCATGATATATCTCCATGACCATCAAAATGCATGCCCATTTCGAAGAAAACCAAGCAGCTGGGTCGAATAAAGTCGGCTCAGTGTACTTCACATCCGGCCTCCTTATCAGGCGCCCAGCTTACGTTTATCTCAGACAAGGAGACGACTGAGCATACCGCAATCCTTATTCTGTTTGCTTATATTCCTAGGAAGCGTACTACGAACAGAAGGCGATTGTACCGTTCATCCGGCGTGCGCAATGTCCCGTGTATGACGAAATCATATACCGCCTGCTGCAGTTCCGCTTCCTTGAAAGGTGCAGAGGTGGAGTGCATAAAGTCACAGGAACAAAAGCATATTGTCGGATGCTTGGCCCTGATTGCTATAGGTGCTCTAACCCACTAAGAAGAGGAAGAACATATTTTGTGGTCAATTCAACCTACACTGACAGTGACGTCTATATTACGTAAATTAATGTCGCATCACTTTCCACTGAGACCCTGTGTAGCTGCACAACACCACCGTCTTTGAATGGACCATCTGCCGTATGATCGGGCCGCGGCCGGGCGACGGATCGGTGCGTGCTCGTGAGCCACAGAGGATGGAGACGAAGCGCGACATTTAGCCGCGGCGTCCTACGCACCGTGCGGCGCTCCGTGACACGCTGCACGTTCGACCGTAAGGCGAGACGCACAAGGTGAACAAACGCACGGGCGAGATCTAATGGCTGGGTATGAGAGGGAACAGTTGTGGGCCAACGGTGGAGGAAAGTATTGGAAAGTCTGCTGAAACCATGGCCCTAAAAGAGCTAAAACGCGGCCTAATAGTGTGTCAAGTAGGGTTTCATGCGCTCCTGTGATACCGTGATACTTTGACGGCATTACATTTTTGTTGTATACTTGTATTGATACATACCATTCCCAAGAACGTGCTACTATTGCTTGCATTTTGCCTAAAAAAAACATTTACAAGAATGAATTTTAACACTCCAGCCAAAAATACTATTATAAATTTGTAGTTTGTGAAGAACTGCAATCTAATGCAGCTCCTGAACTGTCTAGTTAATATGTAACCGAGCTTCAATGGTTATCTTTAAGCGTGTCTTTGTGTTATTGTAGACTAATTGGCACCGGCAGCCAGATCTGTTTACGGCCAGGCCGGAGTTCAAAGCAAAGTAAACAGAGAAGTTGGGAGAGCAGAGCTGCCCGTCCGTATATACGGAATTATCCTAGAGCAGCTTAGCCAAGGTAACACTACGCTCCACGGTTTGTGTGTATTTCTTAGACGGGCCGAGAAAAACATAAATAGTAGAAAAGTAATGATGTTTTTCACATGTCTAATTACCATATTCTAGCAAAGCGTTTTCAATTTCAAGACCTATGAACCTGCATCGTTCTGCTTTTTTGATACTGCTCATTTCCATTCATACCCATCCGGCACTATTTCATAGGATTATAGTTCTGTTTACTAGCGTGGTAAGCAGACTGCGACGCGCAAACAAGGTTTGACGCATTTAAGTGTGTACATCATCCCTTTGATATGAAGTACCATTAAATCAGCTGACGGATGTCTCAGGGTGCGGCGCAGTAAATGCCGAGTCTTCATTGCTATGCTGCCTCATCACTGGCCTACTGAGTTAGAGACACGGAATAAAAACCGGCAGCTGCGGTGTGAATGACTGTGTGTGTTTCGCCCGATTCTGGTGTGGATGTGCTGACGTGTGTGATATGAGTTCGGGCCGGAAAAAGCAAGACAAACCTAGATTGCTTTCGCTCATGCCCGTAGTCTTGAAGGCCATATTCTAATAAAAACGTCCATTCACAAATGAAAATGCACATCAAATAACAAATTACAAAACAGTTTACCGACTGAGGTGAAAAATAGAGAACTGCTTCTTCGTCAAGATCTACAAGGACTGAATTTGTGTCTTGCGACACTTCCCTGTAGGATGAAAAATGCATGTCAAGCCGGCCTGGTAGCGCGCTGTGATTTCTTGGAAACGCACCGGGCAGCGTCACCCTTTACAGGACTTAGCGACAACGAGGCTCTCGCCCGGGGTTACGATCGCATATTCATCGGTGGGCACTCCGTGCATTCTGGGCATACTCACCGGGCAGAGCGCATCGCTGCATGTTGTAAGAAACAACTGTGGTGAGTATTGCGTGTGCCGAAATCTGGTACCGTCTAGTATCAGGTTACGGAAGCCATTGTCTGCAGTTACAGTGATACGACGTTCATGCCGAAAATGACAGCGTTGGGATCGAAGTCAGTTCCGTGAAATCGACAGAATATTTTAGCTCCGGGCTCAAGAATACTTGAATGATACTAGATTTAGGCAAGACGACATTTTTGTTTTTCTTTTCTTTTCAGCAAAAAAAAAATCAACTACCGATGTGGACAGCGAAAACGGTAACTTTACCTACACCTCCATCTACACAGAACATATTGTATATTGGCATGCCTCCCTTTCCTTCCACTCAAAAGTGGTGCTAGGCCCTGGTTTTGGTTTGAAAAAAGTTAATATTAACACAGCTGCATTCCCAAGCGAATAACCCACCAGCCTTCTCCAAACGGCTCTGTCTGGCAGGGCGCGTCGGTTTACTTTCAAAACAGTCCCGGATTTTTTCCTCGATTTTTTGCCTTCCTCCGCCACCATCTTCCCTGGTCTCCGGGGACCCCCTCCGGTCAGACGGTCGGGGGGGGGGGGGCAGATGGCTCCTTCCGGTCGGCTCCCTGCTCTCCCCCTCTGTCCTGACACCCCCTCTATCCGACACCCTCTACCGTGCCGTCCCTCCGTGTCGGCCCGTCTACCGCTCGTCCAACTCCAATTACTCTGCGAGTTCTGTCCACCTCGAAGGACACGAGGCGGTGAGGAAGGGGGTGAGGATGGGTCACAGCTCCGATTTCGTGTCACGTGCGTCATGCGACCTGAAATACAAGCCTGAGGACGGTGTACCAAGTGTTTTTTTACGGGGGTCTCTGCAGGTCCTATTTAATAAAAGATTATTTTGTGCTGGGGCACGCTATGTATTTCTATTGCGTTTTATCTATCGACTAGTTATTTTTTCTAGACCCCACATCTGTTCTCCCGTGAATTTCCGACAAGTTGGATAGAAACTTCCAAAAAAGGTAGTCACTCGGGTTTCCTCAAGTTTGTCTGTCTTGGAAGATCAAGCAATGCCAGAAGAAGCTTACGAACACAATATTTAATCAGAATTGGATGATAGGGGATGTTT